AATAATTATACTAAGTTATCCCTACAATATAGCCAATTTATTTTAGAGTATTCTAAAAAGTTTGCAACCAGTTATTTCATACACATGTGGCTATTTCACCCCAGTTGCCACAAACTGGCAGACACCTAAGAAAATCTAATTTGGGCTTTCAATCAAATAAAAACAAATTGGCAAAATTGGTTCATTTTTCTCTTGAATAGACTCTCTTATTGAAAGGGTTAATTTTCCTTGGATACAACTTCCTCGTTTTATTTCTCTCAACAGAAGTTCTTTGTTTCATGTATTTGATAATTGCTTCATTATGTCGTGCCATACAATATATGTGTGCCAAGAAAGCATTTCAAAAATTAGCAGTCTCTTTTCTGAAGTCTTTTTCCCATTTTTAATTTTTAAAAAAATAGCAAAGGGCTAGAGTAGGTTAGATGATTTGTTTGAGAAAGCTGTCTTTTCTTTGAAATAATGCAACTTTTGATACTAATTGCATTGAAGCTTGAGAAAAAATGACTATTTTTTTTTTGACAGAGTTAAAGGCCCATCTTTTACTGCCATCGTGTGGTTGAAAACAGACTTTTGTAAAATTCCTTCCTTCTTTCCTCCCTCCCTCCTCAAATAACCAGGTTCCCCACTGACTGCTCAAGACATACCTACATCTAAACAGATTGTAGTTTTACGTGTGTGGACCCATCATACAGCAAAAGCAAATATTTAGCTAAGTTAAGGCACTGTACACTTCCAAGACCAGTGCTTGTCTGAATCTTTGCGATAAAAAGCTGTAATTAAGCCAAAGTTTGTAAACAAATTGGCTTTCTTATGAAATGTACATTCTTCATTTCTACTGCAACTATACTGAATGGAAGTTAAGATCTCTAAATAAATAAAACATATGCATAATCCTATAAAATTTAATAACCTGTTTATAATCAATAAAACAGTTCCCACTTCCAAGATAGAGTATAATCATTGACAGTAATTCATTACTCTTCTAAAGATACTTAAATATCTTGAAAATAATAAGTAGCATCAAAACCCTATATCAGCTGTCCCCAACCATTCCAACTCAATGGACTGGCGCAGGCGGGGATGGTGGTGGCAGTGTGGGGAAGAGGAGATGGTTTCACAAGTGCTGCTTCCACAGATACAGTTTTGTCTGTGCACATGCACTTACCAACACTTCCGCAACACAGTTCCAAACATGCTGTGGCCCAGCACTGGGCCGTGGACTGGAGGATGGGGACTCTAGTCCTATATCATAGAAAGTAGCTATAGAATGAATTTAGTTACAAGTCTATGTATATTTGGCCTTTTGAAAGTGTTATATGCACTTTGATTGTAGAATTTATTAAGTTATTGATGGCTTGCAAGCACACATTTGGTCCAACATTGCAAAATGGACACTTATCAACACTATCAGATTGGGGAATCAAACTTGGAGAATATGTAGTAATGGCAAAATGAACAGTAAACATCCTAAATAGAAGATTGACTAAATTTTAAAAAACTTGTTTCTCTATATACTGTATCATGTCACCCAATAAGGCAAACTCAGACACTGACTTCCTATTACACTGGTATTACATTTCTTGCAGAGAATCTCTCAAGTTACTCTATCTTAGTCACATGCTTCATAAACGGATGCTTCATCAACTTCAATACTTGTTGAACTGTTTTGTGAAGCCATCTTTTTGTTTAATTGTGAAAAATCCTAAAATAATGAGCAGCTAATAATTAATAGCATGAGGAAGAAACCAGATGGTTTCTAACAGATATGACAATTGTTAAGAATTTAGCAATCTTCTTAGAAGTTTATGAAGGATGGTTACCCAGGAAAACAACAACGGTCTCCTGGTCACAAAGGCAGTTATTAACCTTTGAAAACTTGATTACTATTGGGTGTAGCTTGGACATTTTACTAATGAAATAGATTCTACTTTTGAGTCTGAACAGAAACAAATTTAGCTTTCATGTGGGAAGCTTATGTATCTGTAAGTTACACCCCAAATGGGTCCCAAGTAAATAGTAGTATATATGGAGCATATAAGATGTTAAACAAATATTTGGGGATAGTCCATGGAGGAGAAACAAGTGTGATTTTAAAAAGAGAGGTGAAATCTGGAGTGTGACATTTTAGATAACTACATCCTAAATCTTTAATTCAGCAGGGTTTCAAAGTCCCAAAACAGGTAGTGCTGTGACAGAGTGAGACCACATTATGCCAAATCATCGTTAATTTGTCTTCTTAGATTGGAAGCCAATCTAACTAGTAAAGTGAGATAATATTTCCCAATCTAAAACAACAAAGCGCTAATTCAGCTCCCNTGTGAAATCACAGTTTCAGTTCTTTACTTGGTATTGGTATTCGCATCGAGCTCTTTTCAAGAATTTAGGATGTTGTAATGTATTGTCTGTTGGGCACAAGCAGCCAGATCCACATGTGAAAAAAAAAGCTGGCTTTCTTATTGTGGAAATCTTCCCAGACTGCTTGCCTTCCCTTGGGAACAGACAGATAAGGTTCCATGGGACCTAGCTGGGGTCAATTTACCTTGCCACTGCACAAGGATTCAAGGCTAGTTCCCCACTGGATCCCTCCTCACTGCCTGGCTTTCTGCTACCATTCTGTCCATGTTTTTAATACATTATTCTGGTACTTTGTTTCCTGTGCATTCCATTTTTAGCTTGCAACAATACTTGTTCTTCACTGTCTCTTACATAATGAAGAATTGGTGGATGCTTTATTTGCAGGGAAAGATCATGTTATCAGTGGTCTTTTTCCTAATGTGTCAACTGCCTTATCTTTGCTGGCAGTATCAGTCAACAGATTCCTGAATCTCATATTAAACTAACTTCAATGCACTAAGATTGTTTATGTTATTTTATATCTATGGCCTTCCTATAGCTTATTGAAGTGAATTATAAGACTCCTTCAGGTTGGATGTCATACAGGAAGAACTAAGGAATTCATATGCTTGTTGTTTTAGAAAGTTAGCATTTTTTTATGGAATGTGACCGTTCCAATTTGAAATTTACTGGGAATTCTCCTTCCAGTGTTTGACGATCCGGAGTACATAGGAAATCGTTACAACTGGATGGCAGAGAATGTGAACAGAGGCAGCTGGGATGAAATTTTGTAGGTATCTGATGAAAAATCGCATGTGTACAACTATGGTAGGAAAGATGTTTAATGAGTATTTTAACCAGTTTAGGGTCTTGATATTTGTTTTTTTAGATTTATTTTCAAAATGAAAAATCATCCGTTAAAAATCTAAATGTATGCCTTTAAACATTAGCTGCAATCAGTCAAATTCTGCTGATTATTAAACTACCACGTAATGGTATTATTTATTTATTTATGTATATATTTGTTTGTTTGTTTGTTTGTTTATCAAATGGGTGGTTTGATTGCTTGTTGCTGCCAGGTGGTTGGGGGTTATTATTTTTATATTGGGTTTTTTATTGTTTGTATTCTGCCCAGAGTCACTGAGAATGAGTGGGCAGATATATATAACCCCCAAATAAATAAATAACAGTATTAAGTGAAAGGTATTTAGATTCAAATTATTACTCTTTCACAGGACCTGTCTTTTTTGTGAAAATTATGACTTTATAGTTACTGTAAGCAGAAACAATATATTGGAATTTCATATAGAAACTCCAGAAAATATTGTGAAGAATAAGAATAATTCTATTCAGAACATCAATTCATGAAACATGAAATATTTAGGTGTGCTATAAACCTGAATATAAGAGCCAATCCAGGCTCCTAATTAGGATTCAGAAATAGGAATTGGCCTTTGATATTAACAACTTAAAGCGCAATTGGAAATCACCTCAGATCTTTTAAAACAGGCATGTACAATCCCTGCACCTTTTGCTAATCCCTATTAGCAACCTTTTGCTAAGGGTGAGGGTATATACTCTGTGTTGCAACTTTCTTCCCCTTCATAAAGCTTCCTCTTTACATACACACTTACTCAATGTTCCTACACTGGGGATTTATGTATATTTATGAGGAGAAGGTATCCTCAGTGTCTCCCAGAAAACAAATGTAATGTGGTCCCTGGGATTGGGGAAGATGGAATGAGGCCTAGGACTCATAGTTCGAGAAGGAGACAGTCTAAGAAGTAGGCATCTACAGCAGACATCACATTTTCTGTGTGCCTGGAATCATAGCATTATTGATCTCTGAAGCTAAATAATTATACTAAGTTATCCCTACAATATAGCCAATTTATTTTAGAGTATTCTAAAAAGTTTGCAACCAGTTATTTCATACACATGTGGCTATTTCACCCAAGTTGCCACAAACTGGCAGACACCTAAGAAAATCTAATTTGGGCTTTCAATCAAATAAAAACAAATTGGCAAAATTGGTTCATTTTTCTCTTGAATAGACTCTCTTATTGAAAGGGTTAATTTTCCTTGGATACAACTTCCTCGTTTTATTTCTCTCAACAGAAGTTCTTTGTTTCATGTATTTGATAATTGCTTCATTATGTCGTGCCATACAATATATGTGTGCCAAGAAAGCATTTCAAAAATTAGCAGTCTCTTTTCTGAAGTCTTTTTCCCATTTTTAATTTTTAAAAAAATAGCAAAGGGCTAGAGTAGGTTAGATGATTTGTTTGAGAAAGCTGTCTTTTCTTTGAAATAATGCAACTTTTGATACTAATTGCATTGAAGCTTGAGAAAAAATGACTATTTTTTTTTTGACAGAGTTAAAGGCCCATCTTTTACTGCCATCGTGTGGTTGAAAACAGACTTTTGTAAAATTCCTTCCTTCTTTCCTCCCTCCCTCCTCAAATAACCAGGTTCCCCACTGACTGCTCAAGACATACCTACATCTAAACAGATTGTAGTTTTACGTGTGTGGACCCATCATACAGCAAAAGCAAATATTTAGCTAAGTTAAGGCACTGTACACTTCCAAGACCAGTGCTTGTCTGAATCTTTGCGATAAAAAGCTGTAATTAAGCCAAAGTTTGTAAACAAATTGGCTTTCTTATGAAATGTACATTCTTCATTTCTACTGCAACTATACTGAATGGAAGTTAAGATCTCTAAATAAATAAAACATATGCATAATCCTATAAAATTTAATAACCTGTTTATAATCAATAAAACAGTTCCCACTTCCAAGATAGAGTATAATCATTGACAGTAATTCATTACTCTTCTAAAGATACTTAAATATCTTGAAAATAATAAGTAGCATCAAAACCCTATATCAGCTGTCCCCAACCATTCCAACTCAATGGACTGGCGCAGGCGGGGATGGTGGTGGCAGTGTGGGGAAGAGGAGATGGTTTCACAAGTGCTGCTTCCACAGATACAGTTTTGTCTGTGCACATGCACTTACCAACACTTCCGCAACACAGTTCCAAACATGCTGTGGCCCAGCACTGGGCCGTGGACTGGAGGATGGGGACTCTAGTCCTATATCATAGAAAGTAGCTATAGAATGAATTTAGTTACAAGTCTATGTATATTTGGCCTTTTGAAAGTGTTATATGCACTTTGATTGTAGAATTTATTAAGTTATTGATGGCTTGCAAGCACAAATTTGGTCCAACATTGCAAAATGGACACTTATCAACACTATCAGATTGGGGAATCAAACTTGGA